ATCGCCATGATGGATGTGATTTACACCCCTAATAATGACCCATTCCTGTCCAAAAGCTTCCTGGAGGGGAGGCGAAACGTCTTTAAACTTGGAAACAAAGTCCAGTGTTTCCTGGAACTTACCTTTTGCGGTATTTATTGTGCGGAAGTACTGCTGTATCTGTCAAAGAGTCGCTAACATGCAAAAAAGCAGACCTGAGTCATAACCTCTTTATAAGTCATTCCACGTATCAAAAATGTTTTCAGAGAAATCCTGTTTTATGTAACACCTATAAAAAAAAATGTAATTACTGAACAGAATGAAAGGTTGGGTTAATTAAAGATCTTTTTCTGTTTTCCTACACTAAACACAGACTCATAATTTAAATCTCCCTGTTTTTCTAGGAATTGTACAGCGACTGTGATAAGCTCAGACAAACGGTATTTAAACTGGCCACCGAGACGGAGGATAATGACAGCAACTTGGGTATCATTTCATGCTCTTCTTACCTTTGCTGTCAGAGCAAGACATTTTACTAAAAGTCTTTTTCTTTCCCTAATCTTTCATAATATGGACTCTTGTTTCTTTGATGTTTTTAATACACACACCAGGAGAGATCCTGCAGGCCAACGATGACCTCTCCACTGCAATGAACTCCTATAAGAAGATTGTTGAAGGCCAGACTGTCAGCGGAGACCCTGAAGTTGGACAAGGTGAAGTCTGGATTACCGTGATGTGATGCTCCGATCAGAAACATCCCGAATATCCTGCTCAGAGTTACGGTTAGATCTCACATCCGTCTGTCCGATGGATCCATCGGAAGGGTGCGGCCAGCCACCCTGCGAAGGAAACTCATTTCGGCCACTTTTATTCGCGATCTTGTCCTTTTGGTCATTACCCAGATCTCATGACCAAAGGTGAGGGTGGGAACGTAGATCGAACTGTAAATCAAGAGCTTCGCTCCCTGACTCAGCTCCGTCTTCACCACGACAGTCCGACGCCGCAACAATCTGCCTATCATTCTCACGATCCATCCGTCCCTCACTAGTGAACAAGACCCCGAAATACTTGAACTCCTCCACTTCAGACAAGGACTCTCCACTGACCTGAAGAGGAGAGTCCACCTTAGAGAACCAGGGGCGTAGCCAGAAAATTTTTATAAGGGTGGCCAGGCAATAACCAATGTTGACTGAAGGGTGGCAGAAAGTGGATAGGCGCCCACAACCTTAGGGTCAAGCCTAATATGAGAATAACTATACTTTCCTACAGCCTTTGCTAACAAATAGACGCATATATTTAAACATCCGTGCTTTCTGGATAAAAGGTATGGTGGATACTTTCAGAGACACATTATTTTCTCTTTACTCCATAAAACAAAAAAATCTAGTTCTAAAAAGAGCATGAATTCTGTGTTTATCATCTTTAATGTTAGTGTGAGACACTGATGATGTGTATTCACATTATTATTTGTTTGATTTTAAGAGAAACCGATTTTGGGTAATAATTTGTTTGACTTGTAGTTGCATACACACACCAGAAGGTGGCACATTGCTCCATGAGACGCCACAGTGAGGCCATAGGCTCTGTTTTTTCAATGCGGCAGAAGCGAGACATGGGCCATTTGTCAATATGCGTTCTTGAGCGTTCTCGTGTACTCGTGACACGTCATCAGC